TGCAATCAAACAACTAGCTACATGTTACTAGAGAAAAATCAGACAGGTTTGCAGACTTTTACTTAAATTCATGTCCACAAACAAGAGTATACAGTGTCTTTAAAAAGTTCATGAAATATATAATGAAAAAAACCATACATGGATTAAAAAAAGAAAGATTCTTTCTGGCACCAGAACAAATTCATACTAATTTATTTTAACATCTTAACAGGTTCTAGATGGGGGGGCACTAAGAAAAACTAAGACAGTATCTTTGGAAGAGAGACCCACCTCTGTCAGAGCAACATGAATTCTGCTAAAATTGAAGCAAGAGCAAATATCAAATTTAGAGTGAAGCTTGAGTGGAAGAACAATGAGCTCATTGGTGCTTCATGAAGTTTCTGGAGACAGCACGTCCAAAGAAATCTAGTTTACATATGAATATCTTGCTTTAAGAAGTGAGGAGGTGCTGCTGAAGATGCAGCCTGCAGTCTCCATCAATTTGTGATCAATGTGTCCCTTCCTTCATTAAAGCATACAGAGCAGAAACACACCCAGCACCACAGACCTCGCCACTGGATCGGCTTACAATTCTAATGAAGCAAGTAAACTGTATGACTGGTAGGTTCCCAAACAGTTGTTCCCACGCCTGCTGCAGAAAAGAGCAGAGCTTAGTTGTATGAGCCCCAATAAAATGATTTAAAAAACAAAGAGGAAACTGATATGGAAGATACCCCCTGGTGTCATTTTAGGTGAAAAAAGTCACCGAAAAATATTTATTATCTTATTTATAAAATTTTTTAAATTATAAATTAAAAATTTCAAGAAACTGGGATTAAAATGAAGCATTTCAAGGAACTGCAAAAGCAGCAGCATGGGTTTGCCAATACAACCTTGAAGACCAACTAGTCAAATATTGACCAAGAGGTAAAAGTAGCCCAGTCAAAGCAAACGTGGTCCAGTTAAGAGCAAAGGGCATGGCAACTGGGAGAGGTTCAAGGCATTTTTGCATGTGGACTTTCTATAAAGAGTATCAGAGTGTCAACGCTTTTGTAGAAAAATACCTGAGAAAGCCTTGTCAGAGAAATAATCCCCCACCACAATGCTCCTGCTCATTTACCTCATTAAACACGGGCAGTTTCACAAGTTTTGATGGGGACTTAGGTGTGCATCTCAGTCCCAATCTGGTGGTTTTTTTTAACTTTTGTATCCTAATCTTTTTTGGGAGTGGGTTTTTTTTTTTTTTTGGCCCCCTTCAGTTAATAATGCAAAAGACTTGAGTTCTTTCTCAACTAAAACCAAACTTGCTGCCATCAACCTGCTGCCAACGCTTTGGATAGGGCAGAATCGACCTTGAGTTTCGGAGACTGTAACTGTGTACTGGAGTAGAAAGCCCATCTTTCTCCCAGACCAAATGGTGGTTTCCAATGAGGATGGGCAAAATGGCCAGTACCATCGCATACGAAAGGCATTTCTCTTGAAGCTCATGTTGAAAAATAAATTGTAGTTTTTGTCGTTTAATTCCATGAATTTCTTTAGTCCCCTTATAAAACACTGCTCAAACCCTACTGTTACCCATTGATTTGGAGTTTACATATAAAATTTCTCCTCACATTCCTTTAACTACTTGCTTTAGCCTAAAAAATATTTTATGCTGCTTAATTTATTTCATCAGTAACCCTAACCACTTACTTTCTTAACTTAATGGTACATAATGGCACCGATTTAAATTTACATAAGTAGGAATACAAACATTCTAAAATTGCGGGACATAGAAACCATGCTCCTTAAATGAAATCTGTTGTCACTGTACATGGTGATGAGTAGAACTGTTTATGGTATTCAATGGCTGGTTTTCCAGAAACACTTCGTCAGCCCTTACATCCAAGGCACTTGGGTGGACTTGCAGCTGAGTATTAGAACACCTTGCCCCACCTAGGAATGCTTCCATAAGTATTAATGATTCCCAATTATGCTAAAATAAGTTATCCATAATGGTCATACACTAAATAAACACGATTCCATTTGAAGGGAAAACGTGTTTATATCATTTATCAAAAAGAAGTGATAAACACTATGCCATTTGAAGGGAAAACATGTTTATATCATTTATCAAAAAGAAGTGGCATTAGTACATTATTAACACTGTCAATGCTGAGAAACCAGTTCGTCTCCGAGTACATTATCACCGTATTTTCTCACTGCGAATGTTGTATATGCAATGTGTTTATTTGGAATTTGTTGGCAAATAAATCACAATCCAAATATGATAAAGAGAATCTTGCAGGTGCAAGTCTCAGTTCTACCTATATTACTTGTGTATCACAAATCAGCCTTTTCTGGAAGTGGATGAATTTATGAAATATAATTAATTCTATACCAGAGGATCTACTAATTATTAGATAGATTCAATAACAAAGCCTTTTGAGAGATGTCTTTATGCTCATTAAAGAAAATTAAAATTAAAAAATACTTCCGATCCACATAACCCTGATCATTATAGAACTAAATGTAAAAAATGCTCCAGAACAGGATCAACAAACTGCTGTTCTTTCAGTACATTCATGTGGCTCTGAAGTAAAATTGAAAATAAAGATAAAACTACCCTAGTTTCATTTAAAGGCTATTATTCAGATAATGGTGATTTCATTTGTTTATAAAAATATATTTATGGCTCATGAATACCTTTTCATTGTTGTAAGGGACAGGATTAGCTCTTACTCTAAAAAGTTTGCCAACTCCTGCTTTAAAAATGAGGGGAAATGCTTACTTCGCAATATATTATTCATATACTAACACCTTTGAGCTTAGATTCAATAGCATTTACAACTTGTGTTCTATTTTAGGTATGTGAATGCTCACCCAAGAGCAGCTGATCCAATAAATAAAACAGAATAAGATACACACTTAGTGGGCACTTGTGGATTAGATGGAAATTTAGTTCAAATATGGCCCATTAAACTCTTCATTAAAGAAATTTTGTTGCAGAAGATTCACACATTATTACTAGCACCACTAATATGATGATGTGGTTACTGATTTGATTATATGGGAGTATTTTGTTTTGAAAGTACACAATATTAAAACCAGGAGGCTTGATACACTGCTAGATAATGCAATTTACCAGGATACGCCCCTAATTATAACAAAAGGAAATTTGACCATACCCAAACTGTTAAATTTAGTAGTACATACAGCCTGTTATCATTCTGAAAACTCTAATACTCTACATTATTTAAACCACCTCATTCACATCTTTAAGGTGAAAATTATACAGAGAAGACCATTATAAATGGATTAAAAGTGTGTTCAAAGTAAAAGCTTAATATTTCACTTATTCCCCAAAAGAGAAAGAGAACTACTACTTTCCAAATCATTTCATATGAACTTTCACCACTGACCACTTTTCCTCCATTACAGGTTTCTGCCTCTTTGGCTAAATGTCATTTGGGGGAAGGGGAGTGGGGGGCAGGTTTGAGAGCGAGAACAAAATAACATGTCCCAAAGACTCTGTTCCAAAGACACAAAGTAAATACTATAAAGGGTTTTGTTTACAATTAAACCTGAAATTAATCAAGTTCTGAACCAAAATTGAATCAGAATGAGATCGACATTTTATCAGGTCATAAGCCAGCCCAAATTTAAGTCAGAAATTTAAGTACTATTTCACTTGAGAAATAGTGCAAATTGGTTGTTAAACAATCATTTATAGTGCCTATTCAGAAGACATAAACTGTGCTATAAATTAGCACAAATCAAACCTGGAGATTAGATAGCTTTTAGTTAAGTTTCAAGTGGATAGAAATGGAATTCACTGGCAAATAAAATCCCCAGGTAGATCATTTGCTTAAATTTTACATAGTATCATAAAGCTACCTTTATTTCATTCAATTTACTCATTTAAAATGCTTTAACGCAATTCAGCTAATGGCACACATTTAAAACTTCCAAAGTAGTCTTAAAAATGTTATCTAAAATAATACACATAAACCCAAACAGATCAGTAATGTGAAACTATTGTTACCTATAATGCATTCTATAGATATAATTCTGAATATATTTTCAATTTTTCATATTTACTACTTCAACATACTAATACAAAAACCATGCTAGTCCCCCACCCCCAGCCAGTCCTGGGGCTCTGAGGCTTGGCTCAAGGGAAGTCCCTCTAGGACATGGGGGTACAGTGAATGGTGTGACCCTATGCTGGGCATGCCTACACAGTAGAGGATGCTGGGCCCCTCTAGGGTTTCCCTTATGGGTTCTAATAAATTTCTTCCCTTTTGCTTTAAAAAAAAAAACAAAACAATCATGCTAGTCAATATACTTCCAAAACATGGCAGTAAATATACCAGAACATATAGATATGGCATTTCAAAATTTCTGATTCAATTCTTAATTTAGGTTGAATTCAGTGTTTCTCACCATTCTATTTCTACAATTTATATATAACGGTTAAAGAAACTAGGTGAGTCTCAAACCCAAGGGACGAAATAGTGAAAATTCACAATCAAATCTTATTAAGGCTAATAAAATAATTTTTTAAATATCCTCTTTTAAAAAAAAGCACTCATCAAGTTTATAATTAATGGCAAGTTTCTAGAGTACATACTCATAAATTATTTTTGCTTGGCATTCTACACACTTAAGTACAATATAACCACTTCTTTAGCAAGTAGCTTAAAAAGTGTGCGTGTGTGAAGGCTTTAATAAACTTCTCTTGGCATTTAAATAAGCAACTTAAAAACACAGGTCTAAAACCACATTATTAACTTTGACTAGCTTTTGTCATTTTGTATTTGTAAATTTATATAATGTATTCCAGGTCTCAAAATATTTTACACACGATTTAGTTCAATCAACACAAATGGACATTATCTGATAATGTGGCACACTGTGTTTGACCACAGGCATATTATTTTAGCCATCTCATCATTTCTATTTTTAACAAGATTGTTTATGTAAGCATTATGGCAACTGAACGCTCTTACCCAGCCCTCCAAAAAAGGACAATGCCATCATTTAAACTTTGTTAGGAATCACACAAAAAATTTTATTTAGGAAAAATATTCCCTTCAATGTTTATTAGTGAACTGTATTTAAATGAATACTTTACTTTTACTTCTCTGTGCAGAACAATTCAAAAGTATACTTCCTTCCTTTCATAATTAACAAATTGGCTTTGTTTCACTCTGCATGGCAGATGAAAATCACTTTTTATCTTTTACTTCCTTTTACCTTACAAAGTGATGAAAAACTTTCTTTAATAGGAATTAGCTCTATCTGCATGAATTGATGTAACGTTGTTTAAAAAAGAGAGAGCTAGTAATGGAAATGGACATATGGGGAAAAAGATCATAAACTAGCATTGTTTAGAAAGAAATATATTAAATATTGTTTAAATATTAAACAGCAAAATATTCCTTTTGTATTAAATAAATAATCAAGGTTGGGATCTCTCATTATGGGATATAGGCCAAAAGCACATATAATGGTGATGGTCTAGTACAATGGTGCTTGACCACACCAAAAAAGGGGGAAGAAAACACAATTATTTCATTAATACTGCTACAATTTCAATGACAAATGTAACCACTGAATCTCAATCCTTCCTGCACATTAAAATTACCTAGAAATCTTTTAGAGCATCAAGCATTTAAAATCAGAATGGATTAGAGTAAGTTCCAGGAATCTGAATTTTTTTTAAAAGCTCCTCATATGGTTTTAATGTGCAAATTAGGGTTGAGAGCTATTAACTTGAACCTAAAAGCTTCTTACTGCTACCTAACCCAGTCTTAATGAACAAAGAAATGCCACCTTTATCAGCTGAGAAGACAAAGTATCTCCAATTAACAGCAACTTATCAGAAGTCCAGGTTATTAATGATCACTTTTTCATTAAAATTTACTTATGCCTCTTTATTGTCTGTAGTCCTGTTCTTCCAGAACAAGAATTGTCAAACTCTATTTAACAGTTACACTGGAAATACATCATTCATTCATGCATATAAGTATATCCTGAATGCCTACATTATGCAAGGCACTGTGCTAGGGACTGCTGTAGGACTCAGAATAGTGTCATGGGGGAATGAATAGTGACTGGCTCAAACTTAGTTTTAAAGATAATTAATGGTTATAAAATTAATTACATGGACTGAACTGGTCCCCAAAATGAAAACAAGTACATATTAAGGGTCTGATTGTAAAATATATGGTAAAGCATATTTTACTTTTCCTAATGTTCCTTACAGTATTTCCCAAAGCCTTTGAATATGTTTAAGGCAAATTCAAAATAGAAAAATAAACCCTGTTCAAATAGATGTCCCCAAGTTTAACATCACTCTATAGCAAGTAAAAATCATGCGTGGCATTAAATATAAATACCAAAAGTCTCTATGGAAAGGTAGCTCATGTCCTCTTACAGTAGTCTAACAAGTAATCTTAAAACAAAATATTAGATTCCTAATCCTTGACTTTTTCCTTTATGGAGAATGTTTACACAATACATAATTATACTATAAAACTTTGAAAAACAGATTTATATGCTGGAAAATGTAATGTGAACAAGTCTGAGTTTCTTTTATTTTCAAGAGAAGCTAGAGGAAAGAGAAGAGGGCAGAATCTGTTCAAACGTTGCAAATATACTCACATCCACTCATTTAATATGCTGACTGCTTTTTATCTGAAGAGCTTTGTGAATTCCAGATGAATAAATATCTTCTCTATTACTATTGGCATGGACTTCTGTGATTACTTACAAAATAAATAATACGGACTTTCATTTCTGTGCTACCATTAAACTTCAGAAAAAGATTAGGTGATGTCAGCTTAACATACCAGAAAAAGTGCTAAATGTTTACAAAGTACATTAACATATAAGAGATTGCTGAGGGGGAAAAATGCTATACGACTGAATGATAAGCAATGATAATAGCAAAACTCTTTAGGGAAGTAAAGACTCCCAGATGCTTATAAGAATAAAGGGCAAAACTAAAACTGAAGGAAAATGCTTATTTGTTGTACCATGGATGCAACACTCTTTGTCTCTAAAATAGAGAAGTAATAAAATATTTTACTAAGTTAAAATATAGGTTTCGTATTTCATACCATATCAATAAGCACATAAAAATACCAGTGTTTTTATCTTGTTTCTGTTCAGACACTTCAGTAAATGTGTTCTTTGGTGCCTGGGAGAGTTTATCAATATTTAGGGATAATGAAAAGTAAGAACTTTAACACTAACAGGCCTAGAAATAGAAGACTAAACCCCTTATGCCATATAAAATGAGAATCAAAAGTGAACTCATAAGGAAGTTAATGTGACATTATAGAGGGCTGATATATATTCCTTCCCCCAAACCATACTCTGGGTCCCAAATCAGAAGGACTAGAGCCTATTGAGTTTTTAACCTGTTTTGAGATTTTTCAAGTGTAAAGATATCAGAGAAATATCATCATCCTAAATTTTAAAATCACTTAAGTCAGTGAAAAGAATACATATTTACTAAATGTACTCATTATATAATAAGTTTTGAAAAGCTGTACAGTTCAGCCAAAGGTGAATCACTGTTTAGATTTGTCATTATTCCCCTTTAAATAAAGACTAAGATTAGATACAGTATACATATACAGGTTGACATTTTGAATCAAAGTAGTCACATCCCTTTGCTTAGCTTTGGAAAAAGTTCCAGAGACTAAAATTTAATACCATTCATGACAAAGAATTTCAATAAAAGTAACAATAGAACAATGAAAAATCAGAAGCAAGATGGCTTAGAGAGCCTTATAATCTCTAAATATACACACATTTGTAACCTGCATTTATTTTCTAAAGAAACAAATTTTAAGTAATGCTAATTTAACCAATGGAGAAAAAACTTCTATCAAAATATACAATTTCCATTACAGACTAGAAGGCTAATATTAAAAAAATAGTTGTAAGCCAAAAGTTTGCTTATTTAGATGACAGGCATCATCCTTCTATAACACAAAGCATCATCAACAAGGTCTTATAAAAGATCAATCAGTGGCCTTCTTCATTTGTAAGTTCTTGATAAATTCATAAAGCTTGAGTCTCAGTCTTTAAATCAAGGTATTTTGAGGCTTCTTAATCCCAATTTGCAGGAAAAAAAGGAAACCAAGTAATTCAGAATCTCAGGTGGGATTTATGCTTTACCATGTACCTGAAAAATAACAATATTATAATAGATTATAATGATTATAGAAATTTTAGATATCAGATTACATATAAAAATAAACTGACAGTTCCTAAAGTTTAGCATTACCAATGCAAACAAAGAAGTGTTTTCTCAAATAATGGAATCATGGATTCTATGACCTTTGGAAATATAAAAATGACTTAAGTAGCCTACATGAAACAGTCCTTTGCTTACAGTCTATAATTAGTTTCTGACTAAAAAAATTAATGTTTCTTGTAAATATATTTTATAGTTGTAATCATATTGGGTCACCTCAAACGCTGACTGTGGTAACCATAATATGCAAGGAGAAATTTTAACAAAAAAAGTTTAAAGAGTTCTTCAGAGAAAATGGATTTATGGTACTAACAATAATCATATATCGTTCTTAAACTGTTTTTATAATGGCTTTAAAAACTCTTATTTATACATGTAAATAAATTCAAGTAATCAATTCTTTTAAAAAATAAGTGATAGCAAAGTAGTCAGGGATCTTTTAAGCCAAGCCCTTGGATAGACAGAAAACTAAGGCTCAGAAAGAACACAAGTTAAGAACGATATCACAAAATCCAAACTAAAATCTAGCTTTGAAATTTTGGGGGAAATGTCCATGATCTTTTATTTCCATAAACTTTTTACGCATTTTAGCATATTATCAGGCTATAAACTTTTTTCCATCTGTTTCTAGAGTCAAAAGTACCAACATATATTTACTCATTATCCAATGTGAACCAGAATCAAATTGGAAAAAGAGAATTAGGGGACATGGCTCTCAATGTAAAATCTAACTGGACACAGTCAAATTATGACAATAAAAGAGATATTAGGGTATTTTAAGATCAAAATTACCTATCCAATGTTTCCCAGAACCGTAAGAAAACTGGTCTATCCAGGTGACGTTTGTGATAGCTGAGTTCTAATACTGTTACATCCCATTTCTGAACATTTGGATCTAGACGAACTTCATCATACTTGAGATGGAAGGCTTTAACTATATTGGGGAAATAATATATTTTATTCAAACTGCAATAAAAATTATGAAAATATTTTATAGAAGACAAAAATTATTATCCAATAGACTATGAGCAAGACAAAAAACACCAATATTTCTCTCACTAATCAAAGGTACATTACAATCAAAGTGATATTTTTGGTAGGTATTATATATCCCTAAAAGCATTCAACTGAACAAGTATTTACTGAAGGTTTATAAATGCCGGCAACTAGAGGCCAAAACAAAGAACAAGTAAGATAAAAAGCAGATAGTTCAGTGAAAAATAAAGATCAGAAAAAGACCACTGAATTACAGTCAATAAAGACCTCCAGTGACACCTGCAGGTTAAGTACTAGGTTGCTAATCACAAGGTTGGTAGTTCAAATAGCAGGAGGATACCAACTCCTGAAGACTTAATCACAAAAATCCTATGAAGGATTCTCCTGTCCTATGTCACTGGGAATTGAAGAGACTTGGTGGCAGTGAGTTTTGTGGAGTCTTACAAAACACAAAAGAATTACTTTCCCCAGGTCATGGAACTGAAAAAAGGGTTACATAGTTAAAGTGAGATGATGGAATAAAAAATAAACCAGCATAAAAGTTATCCAATTTGCATGCTCAGAGAGAAAATGATTTATTCTAGTATTGAAGAATTAATGAAATTGCATTGTGCAAAATAATACAAGGAAAGGATAACATGCAACACCAGAGATGTTCAGAGTAATGTTGACCTAGTAGGCTACCTAAAAGAGCAAAGTTATATATAGGCATATGTATCTATATAGATATATATTGATTTACAACGAAAGAGATAGAGGTCAATGTACATGTATTTATATGTTAAGTATTAAGATAGCAGATGGCCTTTGGTCCTCTACTCAAGGCCTCCCTAAACACAAGAACACTGTTCTAATAACCTGGCACTCTTTGATACTCACCTCCCTGACACAATTGCTGAAGACAAAATGGGTACAGAAGCAAATGTGGTGAAGAAAGTGGATAGTGCCTGTCTATCAAAAGAGATGGTGTCTGGGTTCCTAAAGGCTTGAAGTTAAATAAGCAGCCATTGAGCAGGGAAGCAAATAAGCCCACATGGAAGAAGCACACGAGCCTATGTGATCATGAGGTGTTGATGGGATCAGGAATCAAGTATCAAAATATCCCAAACAAAAAATTATATCGATGGGAAAGAGGGGAGTTGGAGTGGAAACCCAAAGTCAATCTGTAGACAAGTGGACATCGCCACACAGAAGAGTTACAAGGAAGGGATTTAACCAAGGTGTAAGACAGCATTGATGAAACACACATCATTCATCTTATTCCTGAACGCTTCCTCCCCTCCACTACCATGACCCAGTTCTACCTTACAAATCTGGCTGAACCAGAGTACACCCTTTGGTACAGATAAGAGCTCTCAACACATGGAATTCAGGATAGATAAAACCCCCAGAAACAGTAGTGGGAGTAACAATATCATGAGGATTGGGGAAAGGTGCCGGAGGCAGGGTAAAAAGAGGTAACCCATGACAAGGTTGGGTATATAGCCCCCCACCCCAACCCCGAGGACGACGAATACAGAAATGTACTGGAGACAATGGACAGTGTAACACATGAAATAACAATAATATATAATTGATCAAGGATCCATGAGGGTGGGAGGGTGGGTGAGGGAGGAGAAAAGAGAGGGGCTGATACCGAGGGCTCAAGTAGAAAGAAAATGTTTTGGAAATGTTGATGGCAACACATGTGCTTAATACAAGTGAATGAAGGATTGTTGAATGATGGGTTGTTACGAAATGTGTAAGAGCTCCTCAATAAAATGATTTTTTTTTTAAAAGAAAGTTATGGCAGAAAGCAGTAATGCAATACAGTCATGTAGAGTAACAGGAGATGGATTTCTTCACACACACACACACACACACACGTTCAAAATTGGCTTACACAATTTCTTTCCTTCTGGTCATCTAGCTGAAACATCCTACCAAGTTTATTACTATATTTACCATAATTTTATCATGTGATATAGAAAATACTTGGCTTTCTTTTCTGTTTTCCACAACTCCACCCCACCCGTCCCCAGCATTTATGACTGTTTCTGTTATATCATCATCTGATATTAGGAGTTTAAGCAGAAAGAAACAACTGCCTTTCATTTGGACAGCTACTGTCTAGATTGCTTGTTTCATACTACTTGCTGGGTTATGGGTTTTTGATGTCACAACTAATGTAGGTCAAATTCCTGATGGAAACATGGTAACAGGAAACACAGGCAGGACGTGGGATGCAATGTTATATTATAGGGACTGCAATAAATGGAATGAATATACACAATGTATATGAATGATTGAACAGAAAATAGATATGCTCTATAAAGTTTTACCCCATTACAATGATTAAAAAAGACTGAGTCTAGTATAGCCATTTGATTGTCTTCAAACAGCTCTGTGAGATTTTGAAAAGAGCCAGTTCTATAGAAAAGCCTTCTGTTTAAACTGAACAAAATCTAGAATCTCTGTAATGTGTAAAGTGAATAAATTAAAGTTTGCTCAAAATTTAAAAAAAAGAAAAGAAAAGAAACTCTTGGAACTACAAAATAATTTTGTTTAAAAACAAACAGACACAAAGACTATTTTCTAAACTACTTGCTTTAAAGAGTAGAAGTCCTTAGATAGCACACATTATTCATTTGTAATTTAATTGTACCAATTCCCTAGAAATGATATCATGTATAGAAACTTTATATCTTTTTGGCTTCAGGAAACTCATTTTCAAAATACTATAATATGAATGAAAAAAATCCAATAATTCCCACTCTACTTGTCTTATTTTTCAGCATAATTTGTTTATATCACTACACATGATCCACATTTTAAAAAGATTATATCTACAGACTTTAAGACAAATATCTGCTTTAATTTCAAAAGATTTTTTTTCACCTAGCATATACAACTTTTAAAATTAAAACTAAAATTTTAGAGTTATAAATAGAACAGTCCAAAAAGGTTATGTCACCAGTTAGAAAACATACTAAAATTTCTCACTAGGCAAAACAAAGAACTTGTGCCAAGTAAACTGAATAAGCCTACCCCGAAAACTCGTCAGAAAAGGAATACAACTTTTTAAGCATCTGCAATAAACAAAAGAAGATGACGTAAACCTTTTATGAGAAGTCAATTGTATGGTGACAAAATGAACACTATAGGAAAATACTTCACACAACCAAAAAGTGATCATTTTTGCAAACTGTATTAATCTTGTCAACACTTTTTGGGGGGAAGGCAGAGGGGAAAAAAAAGAAAAATCAGATATCTTTTTAAATAAAATTTAGTAGATACACTGATGACACAGAGACAAAAAATTCAGAAATTACATGAAAAAAATTTTAATCAATGGTAAAAAGCAAAAATTTTGAAATCAGTATTTAAAATTTTTGATTTAAAAATATTACCATTTCAAGCCTAAAGCATAATACTTTTAAAACTATAGCCATAGTAATAAGCTCAAAAGTCTCATAAAAATTTTTCAAGAATTTACAAATGATAGGAAGATAGAAGCAGTAGGGGTGACCAAATAAAAGCTAAAAGAAGGAACACACACTACTACTGATTTTGTTTAAAGTAATTTATTTAAAGAACCAATTAAGGAAGAGAAGTTAAAAGAAAAAAAAGTTTAGAGGTAGAATGAATAGCAGGCTCCCATTTAGAACAGTCAGAGTTTGATACACCAATGGGATTATCACAGAGTTTATGGTAGTCCCAGCATACTTGAGATACATAACTTTGAAAGCTATAAAATTTCTGAGGATATTCAGAATGAAGGGAGAAAAGAAATGGAAACATAAATAAGTAGCGATAGGGGAAATTATCAAAGGCCTCTGAGATACACTGTCATAAATCCTGGGTAAAGAACATTATAAAAAGGAGGAAAAAGAGTACACAGTGTGCAATTCTGATAAGCAATCATAAACATTCAACAGTTAAACCACTTAATGACTTAGATGAAACAGTTTGAATGAAGAGTAAGAGCTGACTACATTGTACGGAGGACTGAATGAACAGAAAGTCAGTTAGTGGAGACAATCCTTTCAGAAGATTAGCTATTAAAAAAAAGAGAGAGAGATGAAAGGTGAAGCCAGGGAAAGTAATTTTGTTTAAGATAAAAAGGGTAAACATTTTTATTTAATTCCTAACAGTTTTAATGGCACATAATTCAATAGTTCAATCACATCAAGAAGAGTTGTACAATCATCACCATATAGTTTTGAACATTTTCTTCATTTTTGTATACATCATTACTAGCTCTCCATTTCTCCCCAACTTCCCAGGACAAAGGAAACTGAAAAAATTCAAACAAACAAAACAAACCACATAACTTCACTGCCATGGTATCCATTCCACTCAGGCAGAAAAGAGCTGCCCCTGTGGTTTCTGAGGGGAAACCACTTAGCACCCTAAACAACCAGGGCTTTCTAACAATAAAAAGGAGTCACCTAAGAAAGAGTATTAAGAGAAAGAAAATCACTCGTGTAAAAATTCTGAAAAAACTGACAACTAGAAAAAAGCTACAATAAAACAAAACAATAAAATCCTCTAGGTTTTTATCTACAACACTGGAAGAGTAATTATTTGAAAAATAATCTTTGAAAACACTAGATTTTTCATAAAATCTAAAAAGATTTAAACGAAAATCGCAGGAAAAACACATTGGATTCTTAATAAAATTTAGAAAGAACAAGGAAGTAAAATGAAATATTCTCGTGTCATCATTGTGCTTTCATTAAAATTTCCATTTCCTGAAGTAAATGTTGTAATCTCTAGTGTTAGCTTTCTATTTACCAGCGATTTATCAACTAATCAAGTTTCCAAAATAACATAAAAAGCTACCATAATGTTCCAACTATTAGAATTTACTTTAAATAAATGAAGGAAGCTAAGACAAACAAATCATTAAAACTTCCAAGCCTGGGAAAAGTTTCCCGCATGGAAGAACAGTGGTACTATTAATAAAAAAATTGGTTTCCTAAAAGACAAAAAGAGGATGGAGTACCACAAACAATATTCACAATTCCTAAAGTTATCATTTCTAATAAGCATATTATTTCATGAGTTTTGTTTTCATTTAATTTTGAGTATGCCAATTAACTAAATAATCCTTCAACAAATACACAACCCTAATTTATTTATTAACATCTTCTATCAGTAGATGTTCAATAAATGATACAAGCTACATTTAATCATTCATTTAAAATGTATGTATTGCAGGAGGAGCAGGGAGGGAGGGGAAAAACTGAGGAGCTGATGCCAGGGGCTTAAGTGGAAAGCAAATGTTTTGAGGATGATGAGGGCAATGAATGTACAAATGCGCTTTACACAACTGATGTATGTATGGATTGTGATAAGAGCTGTATAAGCCCCTAAAAAAAAAAGTTGTACAATACTTAACACACAAAAAATGTATGTATTGCATGCCTCTCCTATGCCAGGAATTTTTCCGGGTAGAAGATACAATGACGAATGAGGCGCATAAGTTCCCAATATGGAACTTCCTTGTTAGCAAGAGAAGGCTAACAACAAAGATATAAAAATAGGACAATGTCAAGAAATAAGCGCTATCAAGAAAGTATAACAGACCCGGAGAGTAACTGGAAGAGTTGATGATTATTTCAAATAGGATGGTCAGAAAAGAATTCTCTAGAGAACACATGAGCTGAAACCAAAATGAAGCAGAAAATGACTAGCAGGCCACAATTTCAGGCAAAAAGAAAAGCTGGTGACCACTTTATAGTACTTTTAAGTGTAGACTACATATTACTTTTTAGCAAAAGCTAATATATTTTAAAACTTCCTTAATTTTAATAAAAATATATGGGTTTGCCACAAAATTAAGTTGTATTCAAAGAATTTTGAGGAACAGGCAAGAATAACTTAAGACATATTAATGTACAAAAAGAAATTTAACATACTTCACAGGCTGCTTAAAAGTTAACATTATATATGCTGCTTAGTAGCAATCTTTTAATATGTTATTACACTTAACAACCAAAACTACCCTTAATTTTTTCTACTTGAAAATGTAGTTTTTAAAGCACAATATTAAAGGAACTATTAAAAGTGAATTTTTTTAAAATCGATGTAGAGGAAGTAATTAATTTTAGATTCTATTATAGGTATTTATTATTTTATTTAATAACACACGTCTCATTTTACTACATTCAATACTTAATAAGTAGACACAGTTTGACTAACCAACAGTGTGAAAACCAGTTCCCTTAAAGCAATGTTGAGCTTCTATATTTACTAATTTTATCCTATAATTATTTTAAAGTATTCTATAAAAAGTGCTATGCTGTGTACTTTGAAGAGCTCGGGTGGCATAGATGTTACAAGTTAGGCTGTTAATTGCAAGGGTAGCAGTTCAAAACTACCAGCTGCTCATCAGGATAAAGATGAGGTTTTTGACTCCCCAAAGGAGTTACAGTCTTGGAAACCCACAGGGGCAGTTCTACCCTGTAAGTCAGAATCAAATCCCTGGCAGTGTCCTTTAAAAGAAAATCTAGAATATAAAAGACCAAACAAACATTGCCAATAGTTAACAGTTATTGTTTTTAGTTAGTTGTCCCCATCCTGCCTTCTGTGAAAATTCTAAAAAGATTAGGTAATAAATATATGTATGAAAGAAAGAAAAAAAAAGGCGACCTCCTAGGCTCTTTCTCTTAAATAAAGTGAGAGTATTTTACTATATTCAACAGACAAGCAATAAATACAGAGAAAATCTTACTTTTAGCAAATATGTCAACTGGTGATCCATCAGACAAAAGCCAAGGCCAACCTTTGAACTGCCAAGCAGGACCTTGAACAAATACGGCTACAACTCGGTCCCTATAAATAAAGGAAGGGAGAAAAAGATTTAGAATTTGAACTTTGGTTACTATAAATCTCTAAGTAAAGAGTCATAATTTTTTCATGCCAACATTCACATGGGACACATAGTGTATTAGCATAACCTTTCACTATATTACCTGTTGAGCACAGTAATGATTGCTATACTACCCCAATACATTTTTTCCTTACACCAAGCCTTTTCATCTTAATTACATGTATAATCTTACATGTGATCTTTATAGCCATCTATATCTGCACTTCTATTAGAGTTGGAACCCACTTTTCAATGTTATAGGGAAGAGTAATTGATCTATTAATTTTCAAAGTTGATTTTAAAAGGATATTTAAAATTAAAGCAGATCTTAAACATCTAACTTAAAAACAATGAAGTACAGTAATTCATCAACCAGTTTATGAAGCTTCAAGGCCTTATCTTTGAGTTCCTGTACCTGAGAAGTAATTGAAAACAGAAACCCTCTAGGCTTTTTATAACTTTACATCTCACCTTAAATTCTATAATTATCTTTTAAAGGAACTTGTTTTTCTAACCATTCAACTTAGATTTCTTAGAAAGAAATTATGACCTACCCCTATTTCATATATTTACCCAATATTTTAAAAATACAGATTATCTTACCAGTCTTGAGGCATAAGTTTAAGCGGTTGATCTACTACTCTATAAGGAACGGTCACACTAATTGCAGTGCCTCCTGGTTGCATCTGGTCTTTTCTTCTTTGTATTAAAGTTTCATTTTCACGTTGACAACCTTGTTTCTTCTTCTCATCGGATGGGACAAATCTTAGGGAAAAAATAGAAGGAAAAGTAAACTATATTTAAATGTGATGAAACTGAAAACCTAAAAAGTTTATATTGAATATCAAGTCAAAATGAAAACATATCTATTTATACATGAACTATATGAAGATGAATGTGGCAGTAAGGCTCATTAGCTAATGACACAATTTTGCTTGCTGAAAACAAACAAAGACTTGCTGCACTTTATTGATGATTGAAGACTACTTGACATAAAAATCCCCACAAGTGGATCAATACACAACATCATGATAAACAGGGTAAAAAAACCCAGAATTTAACAAGGGTTTCATTTTGCTCAGTGCGGCAATCAATGCCCATACAACAATACAACCAGCAATCAAAAACTAAAAGACCTCTTTAAAGTGTTAAAAACAAAGATGTCATTTTAAGGACAAAGGAGAATCCAATCCAAGCTCTATCTTTCAATGACCTCCCAAGACATGCAAAACTGAGATAATAGATAAGGAAAACTGATGCCTTTGAACTACAATGCGGATGAAGAGTTATCGATTATACCACGAAATGCGAGAAGAACAGACAAATCCGCCTTGGAAGAAGTATAGCCAGAATGCTCCTTCTTTCAGAAGCATGATGGTAATACCTCATTCACTTTCTTTAAATATGTGCTCAGTAGGGATCAGTCTCTGGAGAATAACTGTTTAAAAGTAGAAGTGGGCGGAGGGAGACATCGGACGGAGCAAGATATGACAAAATACCTATTTATAAACTATCAAGGGCTCAAAAGGGAGAGGGGAGAGGGAAGGGAGGGGAAAAATGAGGACCTGATGTCGGGGGTTTGGGTGAAGAGAAAATGTGTTGAGAATGATGTACAAATGCGCTTTACACAATTGATGTGTGTATGGATTGCGATAACAGTTGTATGAGCCCCTGATAAAATGTTTAAAAAAAAAAAAGTTGAGGGTCAGAGAAAAAAAGCCTCTCAACAAGATGAAATCACACAGTGGGTGCAACAATAAACTCACACTTAGCGGCAATTCCAAGAATGATGCAAAGGATCCCCTAGTGATGATGTGGCTACATATCGAGCTGGTAATTCCAAGGTCAGTGGTTCTAACACATCAGTTGTATCAGATGAGAAAGAGGAAGCAATCTGCTCGTGTACAGAATGATGTGTTTGTACCCTAAAGGGGCGATTCTACTGTGTCCTACAGGGCCACTGTGGCAGTGAGTTTGGTGTGAATGATGCAGGACTGGGCAGTGTTTCCTTTTGTAAGACATATGGTTGCTATGAGTCAGAACTGCTTCAATGGCACCTATCAACAATAAATACACGCACATATGTGTTTAGAGAAAGAATGGGTTTTCTACTGTCAATAATTAGTCTCAGAAACCACAGGGGGTCTCTAATGAGTCATCACTGACAAAATGGCAGTGAGTTTCGTTTTTGGATGTATTCTGACAGGTGTTTTAAGCTATCCTTTATAGGTCAAATAAAAGCCAGGATCAATGTGGCACACTGGTGATCAATTTGGCAGACTGGTATGCTTGTGGGTTTCTGTGTCACACACATTTCATGTGAATATTCATCTAACCAGCATTTAGGATTAAGATTAAACAAGGTTACATTTGATTTTTCAAATGCTATTACAGAAAGTATTTTATAGTAATGGGAAACTTTATTACAAAACAAAAACAAAAAACCCACTACCATCGGGTCAATGCAGGCCATTAGAGACCCTACAGGGCAAGACAAAACTGCCCCTTTGAGTTTCCGAGACTAAAATTCTTTGCAGGATTAAAAAGCTGTCTTTCTTCCACGCAACATGTGGTAATTTCAAACAGCTGACCTTATTACATACAGCAGCCAGAGCTTAGCCACTACGCTACCATGGTTCCTTCGAAAGCTTACCTAAAATGAAAACAGGGGCTTTAAGTTTTTTTCTTTTTTCATCATCAGTGACACAAATTTTATAGTCAAAAGTTTTAGTGGCAGCAAAATAATAGTTTTTAGGTAAACTTAAAAACTAAGTAGTGACAAATTGCTTAAACTGGGGGCTAGTAATGCCTCCTCGCAGACACTTTACCACTGACCAGGGAGTGGCACAAGCTGCTTCTGTGAGCCCTGCTCTTCTCCAGCACAGCTAATTTTCTCCCAGCACACGAGGCAACCCAGCCCGCCAAACCTCTTACCTCTACGGCCTCTGGGGACCCTTTATGGGGAGCATATCGTGTGGGAAACTTAGTACAGAAATTCTCAATATCCAAGCTAAACACTTGGCCTTTTCTTTCCCTCCTGCCCTCCATCTTTCCCACTTTCTTCTCCTGTGCCCCACCCCTCAAGTGCCCCACTCCCCCGAGGTAAACATGCACACACACCAACTCTACCAAAAAAGCAGGAATTCACCACCCAAGGCAGTTTTATACGTTTATTATAACTACCCCCAGTTCTGTCCTACTTTCTCTTCTGGCATTCTCTACCAGTGTACCCCACAGTCTGGAAAATCCACCACCCCAAACAAGCGGGCCTATAACTCTGGCACACTTACCCAAACAAGGGCTCTACCCGTTTTTCTTTTCTTTTCTCCTGTGAGTCACAGACCCAGCCCCATTCAAATAGGAACAGAACTTTAGCACCCAGGTCTTTTGTCCCTCTTCCCCTTATACTCTTTCTTGCTCTCTTCTTCTTCCTGAAATGTATTTTCAAGAAGCCTATCAATTCTGATTCTCTCTCTTAAATTGAATATTCCCATTATTTTTACAAATCTGTTGGCCTATGAATTCGGAAAAACAATGTTTAGGTCCTTTCAAGAAATGTAAGGAGCACTCATGAAAGCAACAAAAGAATTGAAAAACTGAAAGCCTTAAACCAAAAAGAATCCCAGAAAATAAATAATAATAGAATTACCAATATAATAAGAGACCTGAGGATAAAATGGAAGAAATGGACAATCGGGTAAATGACCTCAAAGATAATCATTCTGACTGCAATCGATGAAATAATCCATCAACAAGAAAGCTGAAGCATCGAAGAAAGGCTGAGAATTGTGTGGGACACTATCAAGACACACAACCTATGTCTCATCAGGATCTTGGAGCAAGAAAAAACACAACAAATCTAAAGAAAAAATAGTACAAGAAATCATGGAAGAAAATTTCCTCAATGTCCAAAAGGAGGAGAAAATGCATTCATGAAGCCAGAAGAACACCAAATAAGACAGATCCCAAAGAAAAAACATCAAAGCATATCATAGTCAAACTCCAAATTTATGGAAAAGGCAAGAATTCTGTGGGCAGCTAGAGAAAAAAGAACAGTCACATACAGAGGAAAACTGGTAAGAATAACATCAAATTTCTCAGCAGAAACTGCAGACAAGCAAAAAATGGACTGACATGTATAAAACTCTACATTTCTGAAAAAAACTCTCAACCAAGAATCCTTTATTTCCCCCTTCATATATGAAGGGGGAAATAAAGGTATTTCCAGAGGAGGAAAAAAATAAAGGAATTCATAAAAATAAGACCTGCATTTTGAAAAAAAAATTAAGGAGCAAGAGATGGACAGAAACAGAGCAAAAGCATATCAAAACGACGGCAACAAGCCTACATATATTAGTATCAGCACTAAAGGATTGACTGTGCCAATTAAAAGACAGAGTAGCTGAATGGATTAGAAATGGATTGACTGTGCCAATTAAAAGACAGAGTAGCTGAATGGATTAGCATATCTATATGCTACCTACAAGAGACAAAACACCTTAAACTCAGGCCAAAAAATCTACAAAAAAAAGCCAATGCACTCATAAAAGGCAGAAGTGGTAATATTAATAAAATAGGAGTAACATGATGAGAGACAAGAATGAACAATGCATAATGATGAAAGAAACTGCATTGTGATGTGTGTGCTAATTATGTAAAAATACAGTATACGGGATGGGTTATGCTTGGCTTCTTTCTTTCAGTTTTGATATTTATCCATATTGTGTGGCATCTGGTAGTTCATTCTTTTTTATTGATGGGTAGAGTTCAAACGCATGAATATACAATCACTGGTGTATCCACTCTCCCGCTGATGGCCATTTGGGATGTTCTAACTTTGAGTGTATTATAAAGTCCCTTTACATATTATTTTATAAGTATTTTTGTGGACATATTTTCACTTCTCTTACATATCTTTGAGTGAAACTATCGCAGCACAGTACGTTCAACACGTTAAGAAACTCTCAAATCATTTTCTGAAGTAAATGCAGCACTTCATACTCCCACCAAGAGTGTATGAGAGTCCTTGGGTAGAATGACTACTAGTCAAAAGGTTTTCACTTAGAATCCAACCAAAGGTACCTTAGAAGACTCAGTGATCTGCTTCTGAAAGGTTACAGCCCTGAAAAGTCTAAAAAGCACAGTTCTACTAACACACAAACTGGAATTTCATTACCAGTTTACCATAAACTACAATCAACTTAATGGCAACTAACAAGAATCTATCAGAGTACTGGTCATTTTCAGTATTTCTAAAAAACGTAAGGTAGTATCTTGCCACAACTTTAGTTTTCATTTCCCTGATGACCAATACTACTACTAAGTACCTTTACATGTCTTTAACAGCTATTTTTAGACTTTAGTAAGCTGTCTTTTTAAGGCTTTTATTTTCTCATTAGAAATATATAGCGTGAATATTTTCATCTCCTGAATATCATCTTTAACAAACAGAAGTCTTAAAAATGTTAATGAAGCCCAATTTATCTTTTATGGTTCATCCTAAAACTGTAGATGTCTATCCAAACTCTCATTCTTCTGTGCTTTCTTCTAGAAGCTTTATGTCATTTTAGCTGTTATGCTTGGGTCTATAAGAAATATTCATTTTTCTGTATACTTTGAGGGAGAGGTTGGAATTCACTGTACCCTTCCGTACGTTTATCCACTTATTCTAGCATTTTCAGCTGATAAGATTTCTTTCCCTGATTACATTGTTCTGGCAATGTAATTTTTAAAAGTAAACTGTGTGGGTCTATTTCTAAATTGTC